ACAGTTAAGTGACAATCACACATATAATATTAAATATTATATAAAATGAGCTAAACTTAGTTGCTTAGTTTTCTCTTCCAATGAAATGTTTTTTCAGAAGGAAGTTGTCTTTATCAAAATGCTTTACTGTAAGTTCTGTTTCCTGGTTTTTATCTGTAGCTGGATGGAAACCAAAGAGACTTTTGATTTTACAGGAATGAAAGTGATAAACCTTTATTACATACTCTATGTAGAGACGCCCAGCTACATGCAAGCTCATTAGTTTTAGGCTTTTTATTAATATTATGGTTAAAGCATCCATTTTTTTTTTAATCAAAATTATCCACTTACTTGTTTTTCAGTTTCTTTTCCTTTGGAATTTTCAGTCTTCTTCTGATTTTTACCTGTTAATTGTTATTCAATAAACTGGAAGCACTTTATTGCTGATAGCAACTTAAATTCAGACCAATCTTCTCATACCACCATCTTATGGCTGCTTTTTTGCATTCATGAGACTAAGGAATAAAACCATAAAACCATAACAGACATCACGATGGAACGACATCAGCTGTTGGTCCACATAGCTCAGACTAGACTACTTGCTGCAACACCAACTGTCTGCCATCAACTGTCTGCCATGAGGCCTGAGTTTTAGTCCATTCCAGACATCGTTCATTGTTCAAAACTCTTTACAATCCTGAAAGAGTCAGAAACGAGTTAGAGAAGAGCATAAGAGCAGGATTTAAAGGGAAAAAAGATGGGTTTTGATATTTATGAATCAGTTAAAAACTAAGTCATATGCTTATGGTTTGCACCATAGTGCCTTATGAATAGTATGCTTATGTATGTTACAAGAGTTTCCTCCTCCTCCTTCTTTCAGACTTTTGTCGTTATTACACATGCCATCATCTGGCATGATGGCATTTAAACAACTGGATCAGATTTTTAAGCCAAAGTGAAACGTTGGCCATTGTCTCTATACGATAAGTACTGAGACAACAGGCAATGGGTTCCCAAAAAGCAAAATGGTGATAAGGAAACATCAAAAGTCATTAGATGTTAAAGGACTAGAAATGGAAATGAAGTAGATATTAATTTTCCCATTGGTACATATTTTACATTTGGTTTTGAGTTTGTTTTCATAAGGCATGTTTCTTCTAAAAAGTATTAGTAAAAAACATTTTTGCAATGAGTTCAGATAATATTTCCCGTTAACTTTTACCTCCATGTGGATAGATGCCAAAGAGACTCTGACTTGAATATAAAAACATGACACGCTCTGTTGTTGTCATACTCTTGTACTGATTACCTTCACTTGTCTCTTTGATAGTAATAAAGCTAAGGAAGAAAGTCTCATAAAGTCTCATAAAAAAGTGGTAGTCAGGTAATTTTATCATAGTGCCATATTTAATTTATTCCAGTAAGACTAAGCACCCTGGTGAACAATCAAACAACTGAGAACAGTTTTGTTTTTTTATTCAGAGGTCAAAGTCTTAGTGGTTTCCATCTAGCTGTAAAAAAAAAAGTTAAACTGTAACAACACTGAGGTCATTGTACTCGGCGCTGAAAAGCTTAGAAATATGGTATCTAACCAGATTCTTACTCTGGATGGCATTACCTTGGCCTCCAGTAACACTGTGAGGAACCTTGGAGTCATTTTTGACCAGGATATGTCCTTCAACGCACATATTAAACAAATATGTAAGACTGCGTTCTTCCATTTGCGCAACATCTCTAAAATTAGAAATATCCTGTCTCAGAGTGACGCTGAAAAACGAGTTCATGCATTTATTACTTCCAGGCTGGACTACTGCAATTCATTATTATCAGGATGTCCAAAAAACTCACTGAAAAGCCTTCAGTTAATCCAAAATGCTGCAGCAAGAGTACTGACAGGGACTAGAAAGAGAGAGCATATTTCTCCTGTTTTGGCTTCCCTTCATTGGCTTCCTGTTAAATCCAGAATTGAATTCAAAATCCTGCTCCTCACATACAAGGTCTTAAATAATCAGGCCCCATCTTATCTTAATGACCTTGTAGTACAATATCACCCTATTAGAGCACTTCGCTCTCACTCTGCAGGCCTACTTGTTGTTCCTAGAGTATTTAAAAGTAGAATGGGAGGCAGAGCCTTCAGTTTTCAGGCCCCTCTTCTGTGGAACCAGCTTCCAGTTTGGATTCGGGAGACAGACACTATCTCTACTTTTAAGATTAGGCTTAAAACTTTCCTTTTTGCTAAAGCATATAGTTAGGGCTGGACCAGGTGACCCTGAATCCTCCCTTAGTTATGCTGCAATAGATGTAGGCTGCCGGGGGATTCCCATGATGCATTGAGTTTTTCCTTTCCAGTCACCTTTCTCACTCACTATGTGTTAATAGACCTCTCTGTATTGAATCATATCTGTTATTAATCTCTGTCTCTCTTCCACAGCATGTCTTTTATCCTGTCTTCCTTCTCTCACCCCAACCGGTCGCAGCAGATGGCCGCCCCTCCCTGAGCCTGGTTCTGCCGGAGGTTTCTTCCTGTTAAAAGGGAGTTTTTCCTTCCCACTGTCGCCAAAGTGCTTGCTCATAGGGGGTCATATGATTGTTGGGTTTTTCTCTGTATCTATGAAGCGCCTTGAGGCGACATTTGTTGTGATATGGCGCTATATAAATAAAATTGAATTGAATTGAACAACAGACTTCTGCAGCTGAAACACTATTTTGGATCTACTTTTGGATCTAATTATCTAATTGGACTGGTTCTTATATAACGGTTTTCTGCTCTACCTGAGGACTCAAGGCACTTTATACAACTTGCTTCATTCACATCATTTCATACAAGCCCATTTTTATGCTTTTTCTACATGCTTTTTCTAAGTGTTTTCTATCTAACATTCACACACCCATGGAAGCATCAGAGAGCAACTTGGGGTTCAATATCTTGCCCAAGGATATTGAGCATGCAGACTGTAGCAGCCAGGGATTGGATATCCAACCTTCCAACCTTCCAAAGTTCCAGATAACAGATCAGTACATATAAAACCACCGTGTACTAACCATCATGTTTCTCCCTTGGACCTTACTTTGTTGTAATAGTGAGAGGGTGTGTTGAGAGAGTGATTTTTTTTTTTAGATTCCCAGATAGAGATAAATTGAAAATTCATGTACAACTACTACTACTGGAAACCTCATTTTTACATTTCTTTTATTAGTTAAACTACAAAAACAAGGGAACAAGGAGAGGATAGGCTAGAACAAGGACAAGCAATATATACAGGAAACAAGAAAAGTCAAATAATAAGATGTGACTGATTTGTAGCGTGCTCCGTTTTGTCCATTCCAAGATTGAAAGAGAAAGAGAGAGAAAAGACAAGCTAAATACAAATAAAGAACTACTACTACTGGAAACCTCCATAGACTTATGCTACTTCAGTTTTGCTGCATTGAATTTGGTAAAGTCACAAATAAGAACTTTATAACTTTTGTTATTATTATTATTATTATTATTATTATTATTATTATGTTATTTACTCTGTTATTTACATAAACAATTAAACAGAATCACAATTTTCAAATCCTTTAAGCTGTTTTTAAAATCACACTCAGAAATCACACCCTAGAAAGCAAAGGGACATGTAAGGTTTGCTCATTTACCGGATTGAATAATAGTTGTTACTGATCGAATTTGGGGAAATTCCTCCTGAAAGAAAAATTAAATAACCCAGGACTTAAAGGGTTTATTTCATAAAACATAGTCAGCACTTCCTGTGCTATTCACCCTATGACGGCTGAGATTCCTCACCGTTTTACTGGAATCCAAGCTAATGCCATCCAGACTAAAATATTGCTTTAGCCACCAGGTTTTTGAAGTTTTGGGGTCCAAATGCAAAACTCTGCTCATTTGTGATTTTTCTATGTAGATAAATATAATTTGCTTTTATCTGAATAGCTACTGAAATGTATATAGAGTTTCCTAAAATAGTCCCATGGAAATTATGTTTACCGAGGAACATATCCAGTCCCACAAAACTCCAAAGGTAGCACATTTCTCTTAATAGCAATAGTTTATTCTAGTTAGTAATCATGTGGTGATCAATCAAATTACATTTCTGGAGAATAGGAAACTGTTTATTGCTTGATGCTAAAAAGTTACATTTAAAGACCTTGGCTAAAAAAAAATAGTTTTTGATACTGATTATTTAATATTCATCGCATTAGTTAAGTTCTGGTTATTGGTTATGAGTTCTAGTGTTTAGGTGTTTCTGTGGCTCTTGTCATCCTTGTCTCTATGTTCATGTATTTCATGTTTGACTTTGATAGTCTCGTGTCCTGTGTTCAGTGTTTTGAGTATTCCTCCCCCCTGTCTCATTATGTCTGATTTGCCACAGCTGTGTTCAACTCCTGTTTGCTCTGTCCTCGCGTCCCTCTGTGTGTGTTTATAATGTGTGCTTCTCCCTGTTCCTCATCGGACTGTCTGTGTGCCTTCCTCCGTTTTGCCCCTGTGTTTCCTCCATCAGCTTTCCCTGTGTTTCCCGGTACCTTGTCCCTTGCTTCGGGTCTCTATCCTCAGGTTATGTGTTTATGCTTATTTTCCCTGCCCAGGTTTTAGTTAGTTTCCTCAGTTCCTCCTGTTTGTAGTTTTTGTACAGCTGGCAATAAAAGCTTGTTTTTTGTTATCATCCACCCTCATCTCCGTGTGCCTGCATTTGGGCCCTCAATCTCCTCCTGCCATGCCATGTGCCTCACCAGACCTGACATAAATGGCAGGTATCTGAGATATTTCAGAGCATCCTGTCAGTTTCTTTAAAATAACTGGAGGCTTTTGTTTTGGAAATAAAATTGAGATTCTCCTACCGGCTTGTACAATTTCAGAAACAAAACTCCCCATTCTTAAAGCATACTGATTTCATAGTTTCGTCTCTTGTTTATTGGCCATATTTGTTTGTGTGTGTAGGTGAAAAAGTAAGACAGGAGGCCTTTTGAAATTTAACTGACATTTTACTTTCAACCCTAATTCAAAATAAATTTTGGGACAGTGTGTAAAATTTAAGAAAAAAACAAAATGCAATGGTGTGGAACAACAATGACATCAAGAGGAAAGGAAAAATATCAGATGTGCAAACACTATTATACAGAGAATAAAAGGCATAAGACAGCATGTCACCTTAAATCTGACAGCTTATTCAATTTAGCAGTGCAAAAAAAGCCACTGTGATTACTAAAGATAGGAGTTAAGAGCTGTTTGTTCACCTTACAGACATATTATCGACTCACAAGAATAGCTAGCATGGTCCTAGTCATCAGTCCAGCCCTTTGCATTAGCCAACACTTTCTGAAACAGGAGGACTTTTCGCTGCAGTTCCAACATGAAGGGAGCGTTCTTTAAAAGCTTTTCAGGTGTGTCTTTATCTTCTTGCAGCAGAATTGTCTGTGCTTTCTCAAACATTTCATCAGTGTAGTGTGATCCTCCATTTGCTGCCACCATGTCATCAATCTTCTTGATCAGCTCAACCACCTGAGTTCTCTTCTTATTCGTGTTGTTGAAGACATGGTATCTATTACCACATCGATTCAGCAACTCTTTGAGTTTAGGATGGCTGTTTCTTGTCAAATACTCATGTATGGTTGTTTTCTTGTGTGTCAGGTCATCACCATGAGTAAACAGAATCATCATGTAGTTTGATGCCTCAGGTCCAAAGAGTTCCTCCAGGGCTTGCACACAGTTGTTTTCTTCTTTGGTAAACCGGCCAATCTGAAGGACCAGCAGGAAAACATGAGGGCCTGGAGAGCTCATCTGAATGGATTTTGCAATTTCTTTCTTTATGTCATCTGCACGTTTAGATGTATCCAGAAAGCCAGGGGTATCGACCACATGGATCACTCTCTTGCAATGTTTAACTCGTTCTCTTGCACAAGTCGCCGTCACTGACTCTGAACTCACTTCAGACTCAAAAAGCTCTTTTCCCACAATCGTGTTGGCAGCAGCACTTTTCCCAACACCCGTTTTCCCAATCATCACTATCCTCAGAGGATCACCTACAGAAAGAAAAAAATGTTTAGTTAGAAACCCAAATTTAGTTGAAAATCTCATTTAAAGCATCTTTTTTACCTTTAGGGATTGAGTCGCTGTTGCCCATTTCTAGTGCGTTTGGAGAATGAAATTGAAGCAGCACTCCACAGTTTTAGTGTGCACTCCACCCAGAGGGTGGAGCTAATTCTCAGCCTATATCAGCATGAGTCTGACCTATTTCAAAGCAAGTTCAGAGACGCTGCTGAAACCTACAGCACTCTTCATTAAACATTTGCCAAGATGAATTCTCCTGAGCCTTCTCGTAAGTGACAGTTATTTAGTTTTATTACTTCTTGTCAAAGTTCATAACATTTATGAATTATTTGCTGGTGTAATAATGTGATAATGAATTTCTGACCTCGAGATACCCGTATTGGGACCAAATATCACGTGTTTATTTGAAAATAACATAAAACACAAACAGATTTAACAGTTCCTGCATTTTTGCAGTGTTTTAAGAGTAACTTATATGTTCTGTTTTCCTACAGAATGTCCTGACAAGTTTACCATTGCTCTGTTTGGAGAGAAAGCTGATTTTGTGAGAAAGATTGATAATATAATTCTCAAAGGAACCAACCCTGCAATGACAAATGTGAACAACTTTGTTGAGAGAGAGAATGACTTGTACAGAATCATCAGCACTGTTGATTTTTTTGAAAAATGTCATCAACACGACAAGCTGATTATTGATTTCATGGCACTTTCTGATCCTGGGCCTGATCTCTTCATACTGGCAATCGATGCAGAAAACGACCAAGAAGATAATGTTCTGGCTCAAATACTTAAACTTCAAAATATCTTTGGAGCCAATGTCATACAAAGTTTAATTATAATCTTAGAAAACAAAAAGAGCCGTGGTTTACTGGAGAATGTGAAACAAATGTTCTATATCCAGATGGAAATTGTAGATGAAACTAAGACTGTTCAGTGTTTATGCCGCAAGTCATTCCGGTTTGACTACAACAGCTGCAGTAAGGATGTTGTGGAACAGCGGAAAAATGATCTGAAACACACAAGGTAAAAACTTAATTTTCTTCCTATCTGTGATATACTGCATTTGAATAACAAGTCTAATTGCATTAACAGTTAGCTTCTGTTTCCTCTAATGAGGGTATCCATCAAGGTGGAAGAAGTAATGAAATCACTTTTATTTAGTTGAAATGCCATAATGTTAAAATAATAAAATATAAAACATACTTTAGGTTATGTTAAACAAGTCGCATCCATTTCTTGCACTGCTGAGGTTTGGTGGTGTTTCCCGGTTACATAATATAATGACACAATACTATGACACTTCAGGCAGATTTTCTGCATTGCATTTTAATTTTTTTCTTTTCATTTAACATTAAAATGGTTCTGGTTAGGGATTAGGCGTTTTATTAGTCCACACTACATGCTCTGAAATGACATGGACAATTATTTGAGGAAGTGTGATTATACGTGAATATATTTTTTATGTTTTGTCATTTGCTTTGTAATTACAATGGTCACAATTACTCTTCCAGAAACACAAAGGTTCCACCTTATAATCCTGGGAGCAAAGGTGAGTTTGTAAATTCAATATATGTTATAAAACTGACTTGTTTGTATTAAATTATAAAGTGAAAGTACACTCACAAAGTTAATCAATCCATTCTATTACTGACTATTGAAAACAGTCATAGTACTAATTTTCTTATTTTTTTACCGGGTTGCATACTAAATTTGCAACAGGTATACCGGTATAATGGAAGTTAAATAAAATAGATTTTTTTTCAGAGTGAATTAGAAAAAAAAGTATTTGGTTAGATTTCAAAACATTATTTAAATATGTTTCATAATGTGATGCTTTAAAAATTATGCATTATGAATTTTTCCTCAGAAGCCAGGAATCAAAGCACATCCATCTCAGAGCAGACTGCCCCACCAGCAGAGGCACCTGGACAAGACAAAGGTATGAAAGGCAAGATGTGAGATCGGGAACTGAGTTAAAGACAGTTTAGTGCTATTTTTGTGGCTTTTCAAGAACCAGTGCTCACTCTGCATAAGACATTTTCAGAGCCGTTTTAATTATATGCGTTCTTGTACAACACTTCTATTGTATTGTAGACCACAATATCAAAATTCATTTTTTTCATATTTATTTTTATTACAAACATTATGTGTATGCTTAGCTAACATTGCCAAATATGTCTGCTTATTAATACCAAGTCAGCTGAGGCCCTCAACATACTCTTGTACTGTGACATAATTTTATCCACTTTTCCACATATTACCCACTTTTCCTCTGGAGCAACTCATCAAAATACACCAGCTCAGAGCAGACTACCTCACCTGCCACATTTTTCAGCATAAGCTATATCTGTTGCGTCATCTACAACTCCCAATGACAAAACCTTTTCATATTTATATTTTTAGTGAATGTGAGTGCAAATGGTTGTCTCTCTATGTTAGCCCAGAGTCAGGGTGGTGACCTGTCCAGGGTGTCCCCCGCCTCTCACCCTATGGTATCCAGGATAGGCCCCAGCTCCTCCACAACCCCGACAAGGATAAGCAGAAGAGAATGGGTGCATGGATGATGGATGGCTGTGTAGTTTAGATTTTTAAAGTATTGAAGATCCTACAAATCGTCCTATGTGAACTATTTAAGTCCAGCTAGTGATCTCTATTTTATTATCTACTGTTCATGACGACAAAACCTTCTCATATTTATAATTAACTTATACTATCAAACATTCTGCAAATGAATACACTGAGGGTACGCTGAGGTTTCTGAACATATTGTTGTACTATGACAAAAGTAAGCATTATTCATTTTTCCTCAGGAGCAACTAATCAAAATACACCCAGCTCAGAGCAGCCTACCACACCGGCAGAAAAAGCACGTGTACAAGACAAAGGTATGCTTCAGAAAACCACAATATATTTAACCTCAAAGTAATAGGAAGTGAGCCTGACAATTTGCTCTTTACTTTGGGTAACAGTTTTATTTTTTCACCATAAACTATAACCTAAATTCCAGAAAAGTTGGGAAGTTGTTTAACAGAACATAAGTAACATAATAAATGTTCAAACTGTTAAGTTTTACAATTTTATGCACAAAATTAGCTAATTTCAAATTTGATACTTGCCACAGTTGGGACAGGGGCATTATTACCATGGTGTAGCATCTTCTCTTCTTTTCAAAAGACGTCTGGGCATCGAGGTTATGAGTTTTGGTGTTGGGTCCCATTCTTGTCTGATATACACTACTGGTCAAAAGTTTTAGAACACCCCAATTTTTCCAGTTATTGCAGTTATTAATTTATTGCAATTCAAGTCGTTCAAGGTTACCCAAAACTGAAAAAATAATGTACATTTCAGAATTATACAATATGTAGGTCTTTCCTACAGAAAAATTGCAAAGACAGTCAAGGTGTCCGTGAGTACAGTTTCCTCTTCACCATCAAAAGGTTCTCAGAAAGCAGGGTAAACTCTGACAGGAAGAGGTCTGGCAGACACAAAGCCACAACTCAATTAGAAGACAAGTTTCTGAAAGTTAACAGTTTGCGAGATAGGCAGCTCACAGGACAACAACTTAAAGTACAGTTGAAGTTGTGTGGTCATAGTAACCAAGTCTCAGTTTGAACTATGAAGAGAAGAGCTGCAGGTTTGACAGGACGAGCTGCAGCAAGAAAGCCATTGCTAAGACGTCAGAATAAGACAAAGAGGCTTGCCTGGGCCATGAAACACCACCATTGGACTACTGAGGACTGCAACAAGGTAATATGGACTGATGAATAAAAATTTGAAATCTTCGGTTCATCACACAGGATCTTTGTACACATTTGAGTAGGAGAAAGGATGGTTCCCCATTGTATGGCATCAACTGTCAAACATGGAAGCGGAAGTGTGATGGTCTGGAGCTGTTTTGCTGGATCCAGGGTGCCACAGGTGGCGACTTTGATAAGTGAAAGGTTTAGAATACATTTTGTTTATAAATGGATTCCATGATTCCATCTTTTTTCACAACTCCAATTGTTTATTTGTACTATTATTTCATTTCAGAGTGCAATGAGACATTAAACTGCATAATTTTCCATTTAAAAAAAAAAGGAATTGGGTTGTTCTAAAACCTTTGACCCGTAGTGTAGGTTTCAGCTGCTAAAGAGTTTCTGGTCATCTTTATTTTTCATTTAGTGATGCGGCAAATGTTCTCTAGAGTTGAAAGATCTGAACTGTAGGCAGGCCAATTCCACACTCGGACTCTTCTCCAACGAAGCCATGCTGTTGTAATAGCTGCAGTATGCACTTTTGCATTGCATTGCATTTGTCCTGCTAAAATACACAAGGCTTTCTCTAAAATAGATGTCATCTCGAGGGGAGCATATGTTGCTCTAAAACCTATGTATCTTTTTGCATTCCTAGTTCCTTCCAAAACATCCAACCTGCTCATATCATATGAACTTATGCACCCCCACAACATCAGAGTTGCTGACTTTTGAACTCAATGCTAATAACATACTGGAAGGTCTCCCTCCTCTTTAGCCCAGAGGACATGCTGGTGATTGCCAACAAGCATGTCAAATGGACTCGTCTAACCAAAGCAAACTTTGAAACAGTCCATTTCAAATGACTCTGGACCCACAGGACATGGAATGCTTCCGGACTATGTTTTATTAAGGCTTCCTTTTTGCGTGATAGAGCTTAAGTTGGCATGTGTAGATGGCACGGTGGATTTTGTTAACTGACAGTGGTTTCTGGAAGTATTCCTGGGCACATTTAGTAATGTCAGTGACACACATGCCGATGAGTGATGTAGTGTTGTTTTAAGGCCCGAAGACCACAGGCATTCAATATTCTCTGGCCTTGTCCCTTAGAGAAATCCAGTTTCTCTGAATCTTTTGATTATATTATGTACTGCATGAGAGTGAGACTTGAAAAGCCTTTCCTGAAATGACCTCATTTGGTGGAAAAAGGTGTACAATTTCTTAGTTTAAACCTTTATGTTATTTATGTTCTGTTGTGAACAGAAATGGGCCGCAATGCATTAAAAGTAACACATTACTGTAATACGATTACTTTTATCAAGTAATGAGTAAACTAAAGGATTACTATTTCAAAAAAGAAATTAAGACCTGAACTCTTCCATCATGCATTTTTAATTTCTCTTTGATATTTGGCCATATTGGGGCCCGATGAATGTAAAAACAAAGAATTACCAGAATTTTTTTTTACCTGATTTTTGTTTCTAAGAAAAATGAGATCCACATATCAGGATATTCATTTAAAATGTCGATATAACGGTAGCTGTATAATGTTCTCGTAAGTGGATATCAGGTCCTTGTAGAGCAAGATTTCGTATTTTGGTCTAAATAACCCAAAATGTGATGTCCACATAGGTGAACGGCAGGTCCTAGGAGGTTAAAATACTCGTACTTTTCCGTAAGCATGCTGCATTACTAAACCGTGATTTTGTTTGTGAGAGTGTTTCATGACAATGATGTACGAACGTGCAACGTCCGTGGCAGCAATAGACATGTGTAGATCAACAATGGATGATACGGAGTACGACCATGCAGCGTTTAAGCTTGGAAGTACTGACATTACTTTGAGTTTAATTTCGTAAAAAGGGACATTAACATCTGCTGTACACTCTGCGTGGGAAGAAAACTTCTTTCTGCAGCAAAAAATTAAACTTCAAATCTGAGCAAGTACGGGGCATGCTGCCACGGGAATGTGAAATTCACAGAGAAACTCCAGATCCCCCACTGACATAACCACTGCAACCCCAAGCAAACCTCCACCCGCTCCACTCCTGCTAAACAGGTGAAAATAGATTTAATGAATCTTTGATTTTATTTATTTACTGCTGTGTTTTACTTGCATCTATTTGAAAGAGTGAGTATAAACACAAAACACTGTTTTTATTTTATATGCTGGAATATGCAGCAAATATAGGTTTAAATGTTAAACAAATTCTTCAAGTCAAAGACTGTTGCCTATAATTTCAATTTTGCTTGATGCATAAAGTTAAAAGATTAAAACTAATAAAACAAGTTTGAAAAAGAGACTTTTTTCATCATACTGGCTCATGTAATTTGAAAGAATCTTAGTTTTCATTTTGTTCAAATTTAAAGAAAGTCCCAATGGTTCTGGAATTTGGGTTGCATATCTGTTGTGTTATATACAATTCCCAATGACAAAACCTTTTCGACACTTGTGTTTTTTAGTAAATGTGTAGTCCAGATTTGTAAGTATTGAGGAACGTACAATTATCCTATATAAGCCACTTAAGGACAGATACTCATCTCCATTTTTTATGATGTAGAAACTTTCTGATATTTATAATTAACTTACATTACCAAACATGTCTGTTTATGAATAACAGGTACGCTGAGGTTTCTGAACATATTGTTGTAATATCTGCTATCCACTTTTCTTCAGGAGTCAGTACTCAAAGTACATCCAGCTCAGAACAGACTGTCCCAACTGCAGAAGAAGCAGCTATACAAGAGAAGGGTATGCTTCAGAAATCCACAAAACATTTTATCTCAAAATGACAGAAAATGAGACAATTTAAATATCTGTACATGACTAACACGTTTATAGCATAGCATAGCATCTTTATTTATAATGCACTTTACATCCAACAATGTTGACCAAAGTGCTACAAATATAAAACAGAGAGGAAACAGTTTAAATTACATATAAAATATCCTAAAATTAAAAATAATATAATTAATAAGAAAATATATTAAGAGACATCAACAAGTCCTGCTGTGCTAAAAGCCAAGGTAAATAAATATGTTTTAAGACGTGATTTAAAAACAGATAAGGAAGGTGCCTGTCTAACATGTAAAGGCAACTCATTCCACAATTTTGGTGCTGCCACAGCAAACGCCCGATCCCCTCTGAGCTTACGATTAGTCCTGGGCACACTCAGGAGGAGCTAGTCTGCCGACCTGAGGGACCGGGAAGGTATGTATGGATGAAGAAGCTCAGAGAGGTACAGAGGGGCAGCATTGGACAAAGATTTAAAAACAAATAAAAGCAGCTTAAAATGGATCCTAAAATGCACGGGCAGCCAATGAAGTGAATATAAAACTGGGGTGATGTGTTCGCATCTACGAGTGCCAGTTAAAAGGCGTGCAGCAGCATTCTGGACTAGCTGCAGTCAAAAAACAAAAGATCGACTCACCCCAAAATAAAGAGAATTACAGTAATCCAGCCGAACGGTTACAAAAGCGTGGATTACTGTTTCAAATTGCTGTCTCGTAAGAAAGTGCTTAATTTTGGCCAGTTGCCTCAGATGAAAGAAACTAGACCTTACAACCAACCCGATTTGGCTTTCAAGCTTAAGCTCAGGATCCATTTTAAAACCCAGATTAACAATCTCTGGTTTACAGAATGATTTCAGGGATTGCAAATCAACACACGGAACAGCAGTGGAGGCAGGTCTGAACACCATTACTTCAATTTTAGAATCATTAAAACAAAGAAAGTTTAGCGCCAACCACGACTTGACGTCCTCCAGACATGTTTGTAAACGATTTACAGACGACCCATCTTTCTTTTTAAGAGGAACATAAATCTGGCAGTCATCTGCATAACAGTGAAACGAGAGTCTGTGCTTTCTAAGAATTGAGCCCAATGGAAGTAAATTAAGTGAAAACAGGATAGGGCCCAGAATGGAACCCTGTGGTACTCCATGAGACAACGGAGCACGGGAGGACTCACAGTTTCCTAAGCGAACTGAAAAGGTTCGATTTGTTAAGTAAGACGTGAACCATTTCAGAGCCACACCTGTTATACCGACACACTGCTCCAAACGCGAGATTAAAATTTCATGGTCTACAGTGTCAAATGCAGCAGTTAAATCGAGTAAAATAAGAATGACACTTTCACCAGAATCACATGATAAAAAATATATCATTAAAAATTCTTAAAAGTGCTGATTCAGTGCTATGCAAACCGGATTGAAAAATCTCCTGAACATTTTGTGCATTCAAGTATGAGATCAGTTGGTCATATACAATTTTTTCCAAGACTTTAGATAAAAAGGGCAGCTTAGATATTGGTCTAAAGTTTTCAACAGCGTTTGTATCTAGCCCAGGTTTCTTAAGAAGTGGTTGCACAATTGCATCTTTGAAATTCTTTGGAACCATACCTGAAGTAAGGCTGCTATTTAAAATGGTTAAAATGGTTGGACCTATGGTAGAAAAAACTTCTTTCAGAAAAAGGGGAGGGATAGGATCATAAGGTGAGCCTGCAGGCTTTAAATGATCCACCACCTCCTGTAGCTGAGCAAGAGTAACCGACTCAAACTGTTGAAAAACAGCTGAGCAAATTGGAAGATCAGAGGGGTCAGATGTGGGCAAAATAATCCGCGTCCTAGCCGAGGCTACCTTGTTTATAAAGAAGTACAGAAACTTTTCACACATTTCAAGTGAAGCCTCAAAACTAAGAGCAGAGGGAGGGCTTAAAATAGTCTCAATTGATTTTAAACAATATATGTGGTTTCTGATAATTCACCATAATAATGTTTACAAAGTGTTTCCGCTTTGCTTCTTTTATTGTAAGCTGATATAAGGCCCAGCACTCTCTTAAACTTTGTAAAGAGACCTGTAAGTTATCTTTTTTCCATCTCCGCTCAGCCCTACGACATTTACGCCTCGCAGCATGGGTTTCATTGCTCAACCAGGGTTCAAACTTAGTCTTAGGATGCTTAATTTTTAGAGGGGCAACAATATCCAAGACAGTCTGACAAGTGGTATGAAACCAAAAACTGAGTTCCTCTACGTATTGGAGTGTCTCAGGAATG